AAAAAAAGACATGTAGAATAATTTTCCACGGAAATTCCGAACATGACAATGATTTTTCTTAAAAATCACCAATAATTCTGGAATCTAGCTTTAAAGTTGACGACTCAGAACGCTCAGAAAAAACCCAGTTTCGGAGCTGTATTGCGCAATAGCATATGACGTCACTGCAAGCGCCTCTCCGGTGAAAAGGAGGGTGATTTAGGCATTAAATTGTCTTTAAAAAGGCAAACTATGATATTAATTGGGGGAAAAAAAAGACATTTATCCGAAAAAATAATATGTTCTTGATAATCCCAGTACGTTTCTGGCAATTTCGCGCGCTTTATCGTAACCAGTTGTGTTTGTTGACTAGATGGGCGCGGGCTTAATAATTGCGCAATAATTCTTCACTTCCGGCAAGGGCTCGCCACAGCGAGTGAATTTCACCCGCAGTATGAAAAGGACAGCACAGACAGCGGCGGTTTCACCTGTGTTAACATAAGGAAAATTCAATCGGTATTTTCATCGGTGTGACTCCGGTAGAAGCACTATGAAAGGGGTTGGTAGCACCTCCATCGCTGTAGGAATGATTGCCTTTGTTTCCCCTTTTCAAAGAATACTTCCACCTGTGTGTAACCCCCGTACAAAATGGCAGTTACTAAAGTCATATTTTGTTATTTATTCTCCCCCTCTCTTTCTCTCCCTATCTCTCTTTCCATCCATTCTTTTATTCTCATAGTTCTATTTTAAGAAACAAACTCTGCTTTGTGCTCTTTATGCAGTTTTAGTGCAATATAGGTTTGCTCCCACAAAAATTATTTTCTTCTCCCAGTTTAAGAACTCTTGCTGGTAGATAATTTATTTACTAGGGCTATGACCGTCAACAACAATTGACACATCGTTTGGGATTATAGTGTCTCCCCGCCCCCCCCCCCCCCCTCCACTCCGGGGTCGAAATGACCGCATGTGTGTTACCAAAATGTCCGGTAAAGGATTACTTTTCGTGCGACAAAGTCTGCTTCGAGAATTGTAAAGAAAGGGGTGTATTTGACTTTTCACCCGGAGATTTCTTTAAAAAGGGGTTGATTTTTTTTCTTTCTCTCATCTCTTGACTCCTGAAAAATTATTCCGAATTTAGGGGGGTACATTGAGCATTTTTCCGGAATTAGGGGGGTCTCCAAGGCAGGAAAAGCCCGCGATAAGCCCGCGAAAGGGGGGTTCGGAAATGTTGGCAGTCCGCAGATAGGGGGTGCTTTCAAAAAGAGGGAACAAGCATATGCGTACCCTAAATAACACTGAGTGGGGGGGGGGGGCGGGATTGTCTCCCAGAGAATTCGGTGTCTACTCCCTTTAATTGGACCCTATTTTCTTTAGTGGCGTTGCAGGTAATAATAATAATAATAATAACAATATTTATAAAGCGCAACATATCCATCTCTAGAGATGCTCAAGGCGCATACAAATAATTTAAATTAATATTTAACATACTTAAGATTAAAGAAATATTAAATGTTAACTTGCATTAGATCATACAACTTCATGGTGCTAAGGTACATACAATGTGGCACAGTGCGATTGTTTGTTTTGCATGCATTGTATAAAAAGAACATTGAAATTTAACAATATGCATTGAGCATCAGGTGAGTTTTAAGCCCAGTTTTGAAAGTAGAGAGAGTGTTGGCCGTCTGAATAGAGAAAGGTAACTTATTCCACAAAGAAGGAGCTGCTGATGCAAATGCTCTATCCCCCCAATTTCTTTTGGTACGTATTTCTTTAAGTCTAATATTATGTGATGAACGTAAACCAGAACGACCTGCAGAGTGGGGTGATAGAAGGGATGAAATATATTCTGGAGCTAGATCATTTAGTGCACGATAGGTTAAGAGTAGAATTTTATAGATCACACGCTGTTGAACAGGGAGCCAGTGCAGAGATTTCAAGATAGGAGTGATATGTGATGATATTCTGGTGTTAGTTACAAGGCGAGCAGCAGCATTCTGAACTTTTTGCAATCGGTTAATTTGGTTGGCGGGTAGTCGAAAGAGTAATGAATTGCAATTATCAAGGTGCGAAGTAACAAAAGCATGTACTAACTGTTGGGTGGATTGAGGTGAGAGATATTGCCTAATTGCACGGATATTACGTAGATTACAATTGGCCAGTTTAACACAATTTGAAATATGGGTTTCGAGTGACATGGCAGAATCAAATATTACACCAAGATTCCTAGCTTGATGTACAGGAGATACAGGGGCAGAACCAACTTGAACATGAGAAACCTTAATTTTACTGAGCTGTCTACTGTTGCCAAGCAAAATGAATTCTGTTTTTGCATCATTTAGTTTTAAGCGACTCTGAATCATCCAGTTCCTCACATCAGCTATACCGTTTTCAATTTTCTTCACATTTTCATCTATTTCTTTCTGGACAGGTTTGCAAATAAAATAAAGCTGTAAGTCATCTGCATACATATGATAATTGATACTGTGTTTTTGAACAATATGCTGTATGGGCAGAGTATAAACATTGAACAATTGCGGACCGAGAACAGATCCTTGGGGAACTGAAAAATCTAAACTAACTGAAACAGAGGTAGCATCACAGATACAAACTTCTTGTGATCTACTAGAAAGATATGACATAAACCACTTTAATACTATACCATTGAGACCTATTTCCTTTAATCTCTTCAGCAAAATGCAATGATCAACGGTATCAAAAGCACTGCTGAGATCAAGCAGTACTAAACCAGAGACTTTTCCATTATCCATACCAATTAATACATCATTGTTTACCCGTAACAATGCACTTTTCCACGCTATGCATCTCCCTGTATGAAAGGTAGAATACACTATGAATATGACGCACAAAGAAAGCGGACAAAAATACAGTTCCTCAGGTAGACAAAGGAACATCCCTTCACTGCTATTATGTAAAAAGGTGAATATGCATGTGACACCTGTTTTACACATTTTTACATAATAGCAGTGGAGGGATGTTCCTTTGTCTACCTGAGGAACTGTATATTTTGTCCGCTTTCTTTGTCAGTCATGTTCATAGTGATATGTCCCTTCAGGATGTGGCTGCTGTTAATCTCTGTATTTAGGAGAAGTATGTTTGAAAGTGGTTGTACTAAGAAAGTGCGAGCAATATGCTTTTCTATCTTTCAAAGTCTCCTATATTGGTGATTGTGCTGTATCACTGAGTCTAATAATATTAATATTTCTATTTTGTGATATTATTTAGGTAAGGTCATTTACCAAAATTTGTGTAATGTGTATTGGGATGATTAACATGTAAGTTTGAGTTATTAGTATAGCAAACTTCTGTTTTGGAGTTCTCATTCCTGTCGTTGTTATTCCTAATTTAGACAAAGATAGAATGCCTGCGAGCATACGTTTACATTATTCTATGTGACGTCTATCATATATGATGCAATAATTGAAATGCATACAATAATTGATGTCGGACCTGTGTCCGTAAGGGTTTTTAAATATTATAACGCTATAAATTGGAAACGCCCCAATTTCAAAAAATGAAATGGAAGCTCTTATTACCAATCATGTGAAAGAATATGTTTTGACTAATACATGATGATAACAAATTTACCGGGAAACCGCCTTCTAATTGATATATTCGGTAAATTAGTTTATCCGATGGTCTGTGAGAGATAAGAGCACGTGTCGCGCACGTGTGCGTATACATATACATATACATCTTTCTTTGTACAGTGCTTGTAACTTTACGAAGACTGGGCCAAGTTTCTTATCATTTTGATGATTCCAGAACCTTGCAGTACACACCAATACTTATATGCTAGATGATCAGCCTTTTTCTGATCCATTCCACAACGTTTCTTTCACAATGCAATCGCATGACCATAACTGGTCTTTAGCTTTAAGACCATGATGTAGAGAGCTGGCTGGAAGTATTGGTTTTGAGACAAAGGATGGATAGTTTTAGTTAAGGGTGCAAGCATAGTCCTATCCCATGATGTTAGGTAATCAATAAGAGGTCTAGTTGGAAGGAGGGGTGATGTGGGCATCGAAGATGGTTCAAAGGGAATGAGCTAGACATGACTGCATCTCTTAGCCATAAAAGGCCGGGCTATTTGAGGTCTTAGTACGGCCGGGGGGGGGGGGCATTATGCCCCCCTTAAGATCTCGGCCGTGAAGCGGCCGATCTCCGCGAAAATGTGCACGCATGTCAAGTTAAGTACATAGAATACTATGGTAATTACAATTTTTTAAAAAATTCACTCATTTGCATATTTATGGTAATTTATGCAAATAAGGTCATAAAAATCACATTTTTACCCATAAATCATATATTATTCATATTTAAGCATTCTTTTTCACTACATATATTCATTAGACCATTCTGAATAATAATACGACAAAATTTTTTTTTGGAAGTGCCAGCTTATTCCTTATGTTATCTCTTGTTTTTATAATTTCTTATGTATTTCATTGTTTTTTTAACTTGTGTATTTTATTGTTTTTGTTGTTTTATTTAATTTCTAACTACAATTAAACTATTTTGACTCCCAAAACAACCACCTAAACTTTAAACAAGACCCAATAACCCATGTTTGATCTATGTTTAGGAAAAATGATTTTTCCATATGTTTTGTACACAAATCACAAAAATGAGCGAAAGAAAAAAATCAGCGAGCGGAGCGGTGCCATCCATATGCGTTCCCGAACAATCAGAAAAATCGTGGAGGGGGGGGGGGGCATGATGCCCCCCGGCCTTATTAGGATTAAAACTTCTTGCTCAGACTGCAACTATGAACTGGCTTATTATCTCTGTATGCATACTGACTTTTCTTCCATTGTTAATGACAGCGCTAAAAATAAAGCTGTGGGACACTGGCTTTAATGGCATATCATTCTATTTTTGTCCTTCCGATTTCCAGACCAACTCTTACACGATGAGCCTAATATACTCGTCCTCGAGCCCTTCTCATGAAACAGGATCTTCGATCATAGGCCTACCAGAAGACCAGACTGTGACACGAAATGGAGAAGGTATGTATGCCTGTTGCAAAGTTGGACTAGTCCTTTGCTTACTAGGACGGAAACCAGGAAACCATTTTGTTGTAATCAAAACACACACCCAACGCCCATTGCGCCAAGGGGAGGGGCCCGTCTTCTTATTTTGGGGAACCGCCCCCCCCCCCCCTACATCCGCCACTGATGGAAACAACCCATATTCATTTTGTGCGTTTTGCGTTTTACAAATTCTGATTTCATTATTATTATTATTATTATTATTATCATTATTATTATTAGTAGTAGTAGTAGTTGAAATAGTAGTAGTAGTAGTAATAGAAGAAGTAGTAGTAGTAGTAGTAGTCGTCGTATTTCGTGATATTTTATTTTATTTCATTGATTGATTGATTGAATTTTGTACTTTTTATTATTATTATAATTATTATCATTATCCTTATTATTATTATTATTTTTATTATTAGTATTTGTATTATTATTATCATTATCCTTATTATTATTATTTTTATTATTAGTATTTGTATTATTATTATCATTATTATTTTTTGGGGGGGGGGGGGGATGGGGGGGGGGGTTGCGAGAGTCCTTCATGCATCTTTCTACAATCGCTACTGCGACGTTGGCGATACAGGTCTTGTGTGTTGAAATCTTCTGACTGGGTTCTTTGTTGTTTTTACAATATGGGTCCGTAAATTATTTGTATAAGGGCATGTCACAACTGGGTAAACTCAGGTGACTTTAATTCGTGATCTAGTAGTTAAAACTCTCTAATCATCTCACAGGAAGATTAACACAATAAACAAAGAAATCAAATTCTGTTAAGTGTATCAAAGAATATCATCTTCTTCTTATCTTTATTACTTTACTTCTTATCACAATAGAAATACATATAAAGATATAAAGAATATATTGAACCCAACCCTGAGGTTGTAGTCTTAGCTGTCACAAAATAACACATGTGTACAGAGTATTGATACTAAAAATGGTCATAGGTTTATCATACGTCTGGAGATATAAATAAAATAACCCACTTTAGTGATGCAATCACTCTCAAGATGTGATATTTAAATATTGTTCATGGGAATAAAGAAACCATAGCTGTTACTGTTGCTGGAACTTGTCCACCGTAACGAAGGGGTTCCTCTAGCTGTTATGGCACCTTCATCTCTCCTTAGTCGTTACAGGTAGAGATCCACCCATTGTGGCATGAAACTTGGACACAGGACTTGCTCTGTAAGTCCTAGCCGGAACACCATAGTTTGACTGGTTGACTGAAATGCAGAAAATCGGGCAGGCCTCAATGTCGGTTCTGGTGATCTTGACCCTCCATGGAAATTGGACTTGCAGCGCAAAATGCTATGAAACAACTTTCATTCACCTCCAACCCATAGGTCCTATGAAACAACTTTCATTCACCACCAACCCATAGGTCCTGCCTGTATGACTTGTGTGCAGATAGTGACACTACACTGCTAGGTAAGACAACCCACCCACTATAGCTATGCATCACCTGTTGGAGCTACAATGTATGTAGAGTGCAGTGGAGCCTAACTACCCAATGCATTCAACCCACCCACTATAGCTATGCACCACCTGTTGGAGCTATGTAGAGTGCAGTGGAGCCTAGCTACCCAATGCATTCAACCCAATTCTGTAATCTACATAACAAATATAAAGCGGGAAGCATTGAGGGGAAAGGTTGAATACTAACAGGGCATAACTCGTACCTTGCAGGAATACATTCCTTGATATGCTAGAGCGCCATAACGGGCAGACATGCTTAGGCCGAAGTCATAATTATGGAGCGCCACGAGATATTAGCGCTAGACAAGAACCCATTAATATTATTAATATCATTATTATATTTCTTGACTCAAATTTATATTTTTACAGATAATGGTCACGGATCGGAGGCATTGGATCGTATTTTGAACGACGTTAAGCAGAGAGGAATCAAAGTGCTCCGGGTCGAATTCACCGATATTAATGGCATCACGCGTTGTAAGATGGTAGCAGTGCACAGTCTGGAGGAATTGACTTCGAACCTGACAAGGGGCTTCCTCTTCTCTCCGATAATCTTCATGAAAGATCCAGCGGGGATCACTTTCGAGTCGACTTTCAAGAGAAAATATTATTTCACCGATGTCTGCGCCCTGCCAGCTCTGGACACCTACAGTGTGATTCCTTGGCTCGAGGATACAGCAAGGGTCACATCAGCTCTCTATCACCTCAATATGATAGACCTTGTGGTAGAACATCCGAGGAACGTGGCGGAGAAACAACTTCGGCGTTTGGAAAGTCTGGGGTTTTCGCTGCTGAGCGCTTACGAATTAGAATGTCGTTTATCCGACGCGAAAGGTCAAGAGCTGGTCGCAGACCGGATAGGATTCGCTGGCAGTACCGTCCTTCTTCTAACGGTCAAGGACTATATCAAACAGTTGTTTGACTGTTTGCCAAAGGTCGGAGTGGTTGTGAATACTGTTCACTCCGAGAGTCCTGCGGGATCTCTGGAAGTTACCACAGAGCCTTCGTTTGGAATAAAGGCTGCTGATGACGCAGTCATGTGTAGGAATGCATGCAAAGATATCGCTCTCTGCAATGGGTATACTGCACATTTTCTAGCAGACCCCAAGTGGAATGGGGATGGATTTACTCTCCATTTTAACCATTCTCTTTGGGACAAGACTGGTAACGTGATGTCCAACAAGACGGGTGACCTGACTGACACGGCAAAACATTGGATTGCTGGTCTGCTCGCCCATGCCCGAGCGCTAACACCCCTCATGGCTCCCACCGTCAATGGAATCAAGATGTTTGGTGCTTATCAACCGCCCAATTGGGTAGAACCATCGTTCATTACCTGGGGCAGACATAACCGCTCGGTTACATTCCGCGTCAAGAATGGCGATGGGCCAACAGGATCGTACCTAGAGAATCGGCTCGGAAGAAGCGATGCAGATCCATATCTTCTGCTTGCAGGTACCGTAGCTGCAGGACTGGACGGCATCGTCAACAAACTGAATCTGCCTTCGGAATGCACAGGGGACGCTCACACGGACATTCCACCCGGGACGCCAAGAGTTCCATGTGATATGGAAGAAGGAGTCACTGCTTTGGTGGAAGATAAGGTCCTATGTAAAGCTCTCGGCAAGGACTTCATTGATCTCATTGTCGCTGCGAGGAGGCATGACATCGAACTTTACAATACAACAAAGAAAATGCAATAAATTATCAATAATTGATTGCATTTTACCCCGGTCCCCAACATAAACAAATCCTCTGTACGGTCTTGCATTATGGCTCAAGGCATGGGCACACAGAATTTTTTTTTCTGTTGGGGACCGGGGTGGGGGGAATTTAATGAATTATTGATAATTTATCGTATTTTCTTTGTTTTTTTTAATTTGTGGGAACTACCCCTACCATATCTCGCGCTGTGTACAGTCATGGTTCAGTGGCAAAGCAATGGTCTCTTAACTGTGAGGCCCCAGGATCAAAACCGTGTCGATGAGCTATATTAGTGCCCTTTTATAGGGCATTAATCCTCATTACTGTCATTTATGACTTAAGGGCGTAGGTCTCCTAGTTGATACGCATTGTAGCATACACATGCTTTAGCAGTCACGCAAAACAAACACTGGCAAATTACTATTCAAAACGATCTGAGAATGTATATTATTATATCCCACATACTAAAAATCTTGCTCTACGATTGGTGAAAAGTAAATCACGTGAGGAAAAATAGTTCGCCCATTATTGATGGGAGAAGTAAAAAGTTCGTTACACTGTGTAGATAGTACTACTATCTACACAGTGCAACGCACTTTCATTGAAGATAGAAGTACTATCTACAAAGGGCAACGCACTTTCACTGAAGATTATCCAAACGCGCACTAAAACAGGCGTAATTAAGCGCGCATTAACAATGACCGCAATTAAAGAAAACACATGCGCGCGCACCTTATCATCAAGGGGGTTAAACTTAAACTTTTTTGGTGTGAATTTGGGTCTAGGTGTCTTTTATGTAGATGTATACACGTCCTTTTCTTTTTGTAATTAAATTGTTTTAGATGTGGAATATAAAGCAAATAATCACCTTTTGGTTTTCAGGCGATGCCAAACTATGACTTCCTTGTCGATCAGAATATATACGCTATCTTTCCTCAGCTTCGCTTCGGAAAGATAGCTACATCCAGATCGCCTCGGAAGTGATATTTTGTCCCATCACCTTCACCAACGGTAATTATTTGCTTATTATCTAGTTCTATTAGGAATAAATAATTGTCAAAATAATTCCATAAATTGGGGTAAAAAAGAAATCCAACTTTATGAGCAACAGTGTAAATCTTAGAATATGACAGTCAAGTAATAGGTGGCGGAGACAAAGTACACGCATTGCCCCAAACTGTCTAAACACGGAGAAAAAGCATTGCTTATTTCGCTTCTCCCAAAGTTGAAGACAATTTATATTCTTATTGAAATTAGGCTGCGTTCATGCTTAAATTTTAAAGGCAGAATGAGCGATCTGAAACGCTCATCGTAAACGCTCATCGTGATCGCAGTTCCACGATGCACTGTTCATGCTTACTTCTCTGGCTCCCCCAGGCAATTCTCAGTGTGTGGCCTTAATTGGTCTTCCAGCTGGATTCGCAAACCTTCACTGTGCATGCTACGTAGACCCACTAGAGGTCAGTGCGTTGACCCCATTTAAACGCGTTTACAAATTGTAAACGCATCTTTTTGTGAGTTTACGATCGGCGATCGTGATCGCCGTTTTTCGGTGATTCTACAAAAGTGAGCATGAACGCAAGCGTGTTTTAAACTAAACGCGTAACAGATGCCTGATTCTGGCCGTCAAAATCAAGCATGAACGCGCCCTTAGAAAACGGATATGTCTTCTCCAGCTAGCAAATTAAATCGAAATGATCATTATAGGAGAGAATTCTGAAATGAGTTTCATCGATGAATTCTTATGATATTGGTTATTTTTTTACATATTTTGTAATTTGAAATTTATAAAGTATGTTTATCTTTCTCATTTCGTTTTGTCCTGTTCTTTCAAGACGTTATTTGTTTCTTTGTTTCTTATTTTGCATGTGAGGTAAATTGTCATATGCAGGCGCTCCGTGTCTTAGTGTCTTCCAGAACTTGTTACTAAATTTTGTAATGTCGAATCTCTGATAGTACTCTTTTGTACAATTATTGTAAATCGTTTACTTTTGAAGGATATTGGGATTTCCTTTGGCAAGATATTAATCTGCATGTGCCACTCTCCACCCAGGTGATGTATACGGGTGCCCGGTAAAGAAAACTTCCACCGATGCCTGGGCGCATTATCAGGGCCGCTCGGCTAATGCCTGGGTTATGATAGAGAGCTTAGAAACACTAGTATTTAGGGCTTCATACATATTACTATTAGTATTATTACTAGTATCATTATATCGAGTTTGGACTTTGGTTATTAGTATAAAACAATTTATGAATATTACGATTAATACTTTTATTATTACTATTATTATAATGATATGGAGTTTGGACTTCGGTTATTTCGTCAGTCAATATAATATTATGTTGTTTTTTTTTTATTATGGTAAGAATAAAAAAAACAACGTATATCCTTTCATACTTGTATACATTTTTGGCGAATAAAGGGGTGAGATGCACAATTTGTTTCGATATTTATATTTTGATTTCATTCTTATTATTATGCCGTCCATCAAATGAAAGTCATGAGAAATGCCAACAAATAAACCACAGTTGGTTAATGGTAACTTAGTAGACAAACCACGATCTTAACTAATGAAGGAACGGAAGGAAAGAAGGAGAAAAGGGAAAAGGTTATAGAAAGGGGATGACTACAGATTAAGAGAACTGGAGAAAGGGGGGGGGGGAGAGAGAAAGAGAGATAGAGAGAGAGAGAGGGGGAGGGAGAGAGAGACATAGAGAGTTGGAGAAAGAGAGAGAGAGAGAAAAAGTCAGGGTGAGAGAGAGAGAGAAAGAAATAAAAAGAGAGAACGGAGGGAGGGGGCAGGGAAATGGGGACGGGAAGAGAGAGAGAGAGAGAGAGAGAGAGGGGGGGGGGGGAAGGAAAAAAAAAAAAGAGATGACGGAGACAGACATAAGGGGAGGGGGGCTGGGTAGACCGGTTGGATGTGCGTGTGTGCGCGTGTGTGCGAGAAAGACTAAATCATCGTGCGTGTGTGAACGTTTGCATGAGAAAAAAAAAGCGAAGGAGGGAGGGAGAACTTGAAAGAGAGAACGGGGTATTTATAGAATACGAGAATAATTGCAAATGAAACGATTGGCCGGGTAGGGGCGCTTTCGTCCATCGCCCACCATCAAAAGCACCCCCGGCCTCCCTACCAAAAACAAAATTGTTCACCTGACCAATAAAGAAATGGTGTCAACAAGCAGGCTCGATATGGCATTAAGAACTTCAGACACTAATCAATATTAAATTGCACCGACTGAAATCCGTCGGAGGTCTAAAGTCCTCATGCTGCGATGTTTTGGCTTTTCGATTGGCTGTGTCCATTATACATAGATACTATTACATGAACGATAGTTTTTCTTAGCGAACCGATGCCATAATTTATTGATTTTATCCTAAGGTGTCTTCTTGGTCGGTGTATGAGCAATGCAACGTTCACCCAAGGCTTCAGCATAAAATCTGGACCGGGTCGAAAAAGGTGAGGGGGGGGGGGGTATAGGGCTCGATGGGGGTCGGGTGCTATACAACCCCCACCCCGCCTCTATTTTTGAGGGATAGAAATGATATGTACAGTTTTATTCCGATGCTTTTCAAGGAAAAAAAATCATTCAGTCGTTGAAAAAAACTGACACGAGTTGATAAACATAGTGATACTGATATAGTACCACTAAGCTTAAACTAATGTTGCAATTTTTATTCTCACTAATGGATACAAGTATTCGTAACAGTTAATGAAAATGATATTTAACGATGCATGAGAATCAACGAGAAGAAAACGAAAGTGATGATGATAAGTAAGGTCAAGACAAAACAAATAATCATCAAGATAAATGGCAACTGACTAGTGCAAGTCAACCACTTCAAGTATCTAGGCAGTGTGCTGGCTGAGAATGGCAAGTCTGCCAAAGAGGTCAACTTGCGCCCAGCACTGGCAAGAGCTGCCTTCTTTCAACGAAAAGATATCCGAATGAGCCAACATATTGAGCTTAGTTTGAGTTTGGCTATTTCTTTTCATGACCGGGGGGGAGGGGGGATTGGGGGTCGAAATGCGAGGGACGAGGGAGCATGGTGTAAAGTGTGCTTACGTGAAACCAACTGAATACAGATGTTTTGCAATATTTACTTATCCATTTTGAAGGATATTAAGCGAGGGAGCGTAGCGACCGAGCGAGAAGATTTGTGCATTTGTGTTAGTCTAAACGTATTAGTCTCTTGGGTCCTCCATCGCCTAAAAGTGTGTCGCAGTCTTTAGTCATTATTTGCTATACATTTGTTTTTGGTACTTTTTCAAATCTGTCGGGGGAGGGGAAGGATCCTCCCGGAAAATTAGAGGGGGAGAAGACGTGTCCCCCGTGCCCCCGTCCCCCCGTGATCGCCGTTCCTGGCTTCTTGTGAAATCTCTAGTATGGAGACAGAGAAGTGGACACTCGACTGGAAGGACATTTAGCGATTGGAGGCGGTCGAAATGTGGTGCTGGCCTACATTAATACATGTGTCTTGGAGGGACAGAGTTTCGAATGAAGAGGTGTTGCATCGAGCTCAAGAAAAGCAGGTGCTGCTTTAAACGATCAGAGAGAGAGAGACAGACGAAATGGCTTGGACACATAATGCGGCATGATGATGGCTTGATGATCGAGTCATGGACGGTCGTCTATATGGCTTGAAGATTAGGGGAAGACCTCGTAAAGGCTTTCTAAATGATTTAATGATAGAACGTGGATCAACAGGATATAATATGCTGAAAAGGATGGCTCAAGACCGAGGTACTTGAGACACTTGATGTAGAATTCTGATTTAGGTCACAGAACCTGTTATAAACTGACAGATCACTGTTGATGATGATACTAGACACATGCATTTAATTTGATTACAAAGCAGTATTAGCAAAAGTCAACACTTATGAATATGACGAAAGTTATGCGGAATAGGCTGCGCTCCTAATGTTATCAAATTTAATGCACAAATCATTATTTCATTCACCTGTTACAAACAATTGTATTTCAATAGTCAGTTTGC